GAGCATAAATATATTCTAGTTCATCACGACCCTAGCATGTCGATAGGGGATATCTCCTAGCAACTCAAGATGGCGGAGTCTACTGTCAAAGGTTTAGTACACTAAGACATCAAGAAGAAATTCTACGTAATGAAGAGAAAGCAAGAACGGGTAGAACACTTGTAGAACAAAAGCTCAAACACCAACGTAGCACTGAGACTTTTCTCAAGATAGTGTGTTGTTTTATTGAATAAACGTTTTTCTGGGTTTTTTTCTAAGTTAAATATGTTCACATTTTTTTAATATACTGATTTTTTTCTTATTGTTTTTTTATTAGAATTTGTTCCCAATTGACATTGACTTGCATTGCAATGTTTTCACAATAAAATGTTTTATTTTTTTCACAATAAAACAAGCCAAATTTAGAAAATATTCCAGGATATATGTATATCCATATGTGCAATATATGTGGTGAATTTCAGTTCATAATATCCCTTACATTAAAAACAATATTGATAACTTCTTTCGTTGGGGGCCAAAGACTTTATTATGCAAACAAAATGCAACATCAAATTTTATTCAAAAAAGAAAAAAAAAAAACTAGAGCATAGAAATATATTTGATAAACACAATATCCCATATAACTATAAGTTAAAGGAGGAGGTTGTATAGTTTCATCATCAAAGGAGGAGGTTGTATAGTTTCACCATAAAATTTCGTCAGTCACGATGGATGTTTGCACCCTCAAAGAGGATGAATGCTATGAACGTTTATGTGGTTTTAAATTTATTCCAGGCCTCAAATGGAACTCATATATACAATCCATTGCTAAAGATACTGGGACATGATCGGCTTATTCTACTGTTGTAGAAAGTATGTAACTCCTTCTTGAATGTTATATCTTGACAAGAGTTACAGATTAGACCAAAAATAGAATATTGCTGTCATATCTGAATTGGAACTGCTCAATCTTCACTTTCCAGATTTAGTGACTTATTTTCCACTCTGAGGCCTCTTTCCCAGAGACACATTGTTGCAAGACTGTCACCATTTCATTGGTAAATGTTCAGATGAGCTTGATTTTTTGTCCCACTAGCTCAGATCTTTGCAGCTAGGATATGGCACGTTATATCTATGCCGTCGAATCCCTGAATACGATAATCTTAACCTCTTTCATTCAAGAGTTAATCTCTCCTCATCATCTTCATAATATTCACTACCTACCACCTCTTCCCAGTATTTTTGGACAATCACTCAGGATACCTCCTTAGGTGGTAAAGCCTTATTTAAGTGAAATGTATTCTTTTGTTTATACAGAAGTCTGGTAAGCAGAGCATGTGTGCTGGGTGTCCCCATAAAAGAGAATGTATTTAGTTTCATTGACATTTTTATTTGTCTAATGATGGTAGGTGTTGTAGTAGTTAAGTCCCTTGTATAACTCGGAAGTCGAGAAGAGTTATTGCCCTTAGTTCGTTGGTCGAATTTCTTGTAATGGCGTTCCAAAAAGTAAAGCATGTGATTACTCATCTCTCACCTTATCCGTTCATTATCGCAACCATCCTATCCGATAACCCCCACAACATAACAGTAGGGAACAAGATAAAATCATCTTGTTCCCTCTTAGCTAATACTAATCCTAAAGTGAGAATTAAATGAGATTATTCCACCACTAAAAAGTAGAGTTAGTTTGATTGTTGTTGGATATACTCGCCAACCTAGATAGCCTACATATGCTGCTGCTGCTAATCTAAGTAGTTATGATTCGGAGCTGACCACCTTGGTTTAACAAGAAGAAGAAGTTTTGGCAGAGCTGGGCTAAAATAATATCTTCAGAGGCAAAGAACATGACCGTAGAATTGCATGAAAAAAAAAAAAAACAAACATCGAAGTTCTGTATATCGACTTAATAGTGTCGCATCGACGGATGAACGTTTGACAGTAAGGAATTCCATGTTTTTTATGACTAGTTTAGGAAGCTTTTCACTAGGGTGCCCAGTCTAAACTTAGCCTAGATCAATGTCTCTTTAACAGACTTCCCTAGCCTCGAGGCTACTGAAATGGTTAGGTGTGATGAATCTAGAACAGGATGAAATTCAGAAAGGTCAGAAAAAGTTTACGAAATGCATGTGAGGCTGCTACACGTTTGTCACCATACTGAGACTGATTTCAACAAGAAAATCTACCCTCATGCTTTACAAGGATGTAATAAAGTTGTTACACAGGAAGAGTTTGGATTAGTAGTTTAACATGTAAAACAACATTTCTGACAAGTACAGTTTATCAAATAATGTAAAAAGCTGCTTTTACAAAAAAAAAAAAAACAATATTAATGGCAGTAAAGCTATAAATAATGATGACCTCGTGGCCAGTAGTATGACGAAAGATTTTTTTCAATGAATACAGAATAAGATTTCTTTCTTTCTTATTACTAACTGTTCACTCAAGAACCATTCAAAATGGAGGGCTAATAAATGAGGCTGTTGTAAAAGCAAAAGAGGAGGATGTAAGTGCAGTTTCTGATGATACGTAGGAAAGATAACAGTTAACCCTAAACTTGAAGAAATTAAAATTGTAGTGCTAAAAGGAGCGTGTTCTCAGGTGTCTGTTCCACAAAACAGCGGTTCTTGGGAAAAAGCTGTTCCAATGAAACTTCCTTTTTACTAATGGAATACTAATGGAATGCGGTCTTAGTTTTGAAAGTCAGAGCTAGTAGAACTAAGGAATGAAGCTTGTTAAGACATTTGTCATGGAAATAGGGAAAGACTTGTGGAATTTTGTCTTTGGGAAAGATATTGTAAAGTGGAAAATAATTCATAACCCACAAGGTTACATAGACGCTTCTGAACTTTATAAAAAAATGGGAAATGAGGACTAGGTAGCCTCAACGTAGATATGAGAGCAATACTACATTTTTAGTCTCTGATCTGGCTCTTGTAAAAATAAAATATACTAGGTGTCAGGTAGTTACTGGAACGATACAAGTAATCAACCAGTTTTCCAATATCTTTAACAATGGCACATATACGCGAGTTCCACTTGAGGTCTGGAGTGAACTTGAATCCCAATAGGCATTCAAGAAGTAGCCTCCTTGAGAGAACAATCATTCATCATGAGAGGCAGAGATTTAGGATCAGTTCGGTGATAATTTCATTGAAAATAAAAAAAGGTCTTTTGTATTGTTTAGACATCATCAGTGGTCCTTGATGGCGACTCTGGCATAGTAATATGATTCAAAAGTAAACATTTAAATTTTAGCCTACTTCAATAGGCTAATTATTTAATGCCTGCACATTATATAATTGCTAATACATTCTATGAAAACGCCGGTTTATTGGATTTTGCTAAACTTTACATTTATCAATTATTAAAAATTATTTAATGTTTCAGAAGCAAGTAAACTGAATAAAGAAGAATATAAATGCATTTAAAAATATTTTTTGATTTCTTTTTTCAGTAAAACATTTAAAATTCATTTTTACCATTTTTTTTCACTTAATTCGGTACCACTCATAATGAGATACATCATGGCTGAAATAATGTAGCAAGATAAGACTATCAACAAAGCTATATCTACATATATGGATGATATCTATATTTATGAAGATATGGCGTCGACAGCAGGTGTGAAAGAGCATTTCGCAAGTTTTGGCCTAACGTATAAGGATTCATAGAATTTAAAAAAACGGTGCTCATGTGTTGGGTCTGCAGGTCTGTGGAAGCATCGTAAGATCCGATGAAAGTGGGGAAACACCATTCCAGAAATGTCCAATGTCATCACAAGATGGAATGTCTTCTTTGTTTGCAGAAAGCACGTGCGAAACTTTCCTGTTTGTGGATGGCTCCGCGTGGCTATTGTGTTCATCAAACGTAGAGTGAATGTGGTAATATCAGGATGGGATGACGTAACTGATGGTGAGGACCATGTTGGAAGATACCATCACGAGGATACGCAAAAGCGACCCAGTGTAATGTGCCTGGTGCGTGAATGCCCGTGAGATCGTTGCGAGCTCCTTAGCTACTAGGTATCATTGGAGATCAACGGATCTCTTATTGAGAATGCATTCTGGTTGCGTCCAGCGAATGACCCTCAGCACATCAACCTAGGTGAATTGAATGCAGTGTTAAAGAGCATTAATCTTGCTCTTCAATAGCGAGCGGATGTAGTGAACTTGGTAACCGATTCTGCGTGAATCAATGGATTTCTGGAATGGCCAGTATGCACATTAAAGCCGCAAGCGAGATGCTCATACAACCACGACTCAACACATTTCTAAGGCTTATTAAAGAGCACAAACTGTCTGTAAGTATCCGATTGGTCAAGTCTGACCACATTTGAGCGGATAAGCTGACCAGAGTGCCACATCATTGGCTTGACGCCATCAAGAAGCAAAGTGAACCATTGAAGCATTAGTATGCTACCTTCATAAAAGCGTTAAAAAAAACTCCTAGCCAACTAAGACCAGACTCGTCATCTCGTCATCTCGTCATCCCAGCATCCCGCAAACGTTGTACTTTGTACGCCGGGCCAGCTGATAGGAACGTGATCAAAAAAGTAAAGCGTATCAGTCTACAGACCATTCCTCTGTACGATATGGTCGGTTAGATTTGAGACACCTGGAACAGAGTAAATATTTCCTCATTCCTATTGACTGTGACCCCCACCTATTTTGCAGTTTCAACAATATTCCTCAAGCGTCATTGATCAATTGGAGGCGATATTTTTTGAGCGAGGTCCACCAAGGGAGATTTTCGACGCCTCTTTCTGTAGTAGGTAAGTCAAGCAGTTTTTTAGAGTGGTGAGTTCGCCTTCGGATGCGATATGTGTGCATGCCATCAAAGAATGGCGTAGCAGAGAGGTGCCATCGAAGTATGTAGTATCGCGTCAGGAAGCAATACAATATCTCCGTCTCATTTTCAGAGCAACTTCGTCGATGAACAACTGCAGCAATGAGCCTTCTGACAGGGAGATGATGTTCCAGTGCACAAGCTATGCTCGCCCAATGGTCCCCCACCCTGACGACTTAGCACGTCAGGCGAATCATATGAAGAGATTGTACTATCTCTCTACAGAGAAGCACGCACCGAAGGAGGTCAGGAGTAAGGCAGTCTTCTACGGAAAAGTCGAAGACTGACCACCTACAACAAAGCGCACGGGAAAAAAGCCAGCGCAGGCTGCCATATTTGTGATGAATGGGGAGTGTGCAGAAGAAATCCACTTACCTCCAAAAAGGGTGAGGGCATAGCCTGCCAATGGCTCCATGATAAAAATAAAACCATTCCGTCGTATATAACAGAAAAGTGATGATGGGATAGCCCAGATGTGCTACCTAAGGTGTTGATGGAATAATCCGGATATACTGGCTACGGATTAGTGTACCCACCTTCGAACGCATATAAAGTCAGCGGCAGTGAACAAGAACGCAGAAGAAGCTGATGAGGTGGAAGAGTAAATTTGCGGCTGTATCGACTTACCCCTCTGCAAATTTGTGACAGTTTGCTACAATTATTTCCAGTAGTTTTTCTCTTAAATAGTAGAAATAAAATATGATAGACCATTCAGGATCAGCTAACTACCTTAGTGAAGCGGGAATAGGTGTAAAAGACGATGAGCAAGCCGCGCTGATCAGTTTGGATCAGTTCAAAGCATTTGATAGGGTCGAAAATCCCTACATGGCTGCTGTCCTGCAGGCTGCCGGACACTAATCCTAGTTCTGCCGGTGGATTAGCCTCCTATCACTCCCCAGGTGAACTGAAAGTGGGTCACGCGCCTTTGCGTTGTCTCGGTCGGTTCGTCAATGTTGTCCACTGTCGCCGCTACTTTACGCTTTGGCGTTGGAGCCTCTCCTTCACCGGCTGAGGGTCAGGGCGTGCAGTCCGGCCCAACGTGGAATCGCTGTCCCTGGTGAAACTCGAGGATTTCTGCGTACGCCGATGACATATCTACTTTCGTGTCGTCTCGCATCGACATTGAGATGATACTGAAGGCGCTTGAACGGTGCGAAAATGTCACGGGGGCCAAGATTAACCGCGACAAGACTTCCGGCTTGCGGTTAGGTGCTTAGAAGAGGGTCGATCTTCTGGGGCCATTTGGTTAGACGGCCAGTCCTATCTGCATTCTGGGAGTGTGGTTTAGACCTGGCCTCCAGCTGCAGGAAAATTAGTCAGAAGTAGAGACAAAGGTCGGCGCAGCGGTCGAGACGTGGCGCCAAAGAAGGTTGTCCGTGAAGGCCAGGGCTGAGGCGTGTGTCACTTACGTCTTTACTCTTGTCATTTACCGCTTGTGTGTACCTCATCTCTGTAAAGAACGTAAGAAGGCGATCGAGCGCTTTCTCTCCATCATCTTGAGGGAATGGGGCACGCAAGCATCGCGTCGACGGAGAAATTTGTGCCCAACGTCCGTGACATGGGGAATTAAGAGTGCGCACTTGCTGGCTTTCCTACGCTGCGCATTGACAGGGGAATCGATTTTGGCGGGAAGTGTTAGGGGCGCCTACCCTTACCTTGCTATCACTCCTCCGATCTCGCAAGCTAAGTGCCATCGTAAGCCCCGGGATCAATCGAGTTACCTCCGTGAGTGTCGATCGGCCTTGAGTGCCATTCCTCGGTATAATGACCTCTCTCGGCCTAAGAGAATCTTCTATCATGAAGTACTGCAGGGGGTTGCGAAGAATTTGCTACGCGGCCGGTTCGTCTTGCCAGTGGATGAGTTGGGCTCGTTTTGGACGTGGGCGCGCCAGAGACTGATTACAACAGCAACTCTTAGTTTTCGCGATAGCCTATTCCGATTCTCTCAATGACATGATCTTCATATGAGGCTTGGCGGATTTGCCAGACTGTCAACGATGTGACCTTGGCTTAGAAGAAAAGGCTGGGACAGTCTACCATTTTCTTCGGATGCGCTCCCTATGTGACTATATCGGCGAGTTGACGGCTCGTATTATTCCCGAAAAGCTTGTGCTCATTGATCGTACATACGCGTGTGACAATGTCGACCGCGTATTCTCGGATGAAACGGATGGTTTTCTTTTTGCTACTAGCCACGGCAAGAATGGTGATTTGGAAGACGAGAATGGAGGAAATTTTGCGATGTGAACGTTATTCTCATCAGGGCCTAATACAATTATTTGAGCATCAGCTCAGGTTGAAGATGAGAACTGATAGAAAGCGTTTGTTGTCGAGAGATTTCAGGGAAAGGTAGGTATTAGTAGCAAGCCTGGTTCGTGTGAACGGGGCTAGCCTTGATATTCTTTTTAAGCCTCCCAAATTCAGAACGGAACGGCTTCCTGTGGAGCCCTCCCCTTGTTAGAATAGAACCTTCTTGTGTACCTAGTTAATATGAGTAAGTGTTGTTCCTGGCATATTACCGGATTCTTTGTTTATGTTCAATGCCGATATATATATATATATATATATATATATATATATATATAAGAACAGTCCGATATATAATCGACAGTTCTTTAGCATTTATTTTTAAAACCAGAACTCCAGTGCTCGATAAACAGTAGAGCATAATATTATAATATTATTTAAAAATATGTATTCAACGCGACCCAGACTTAACCATGTTTCGGAACTAAAAACTAAACTTTAAATTAAAATTAAAGTTTTTGTTCCATTATTAAGTGATGTTGAATAACTTTCAAAAAATATGATTTACTTTTTAAGCTAAATAGTATTATATAGATAAATTGGAGGGGAACAAGGATTACACAATTTTAAAAGGGTGTTGCATTTTTTTGACGAATCAGGATACAAGTCTAATTTAAGATAGTAAAGTGTAAATATAGGTTAAGGATTAAGTGTGGGTTTTCTGTCGATACTGGCTTCCTTATGAGAACCTGTCATCCTTTCTAACTGTTTTTTTTTTTTTTTTTTTTTTTTTTTAGGGACATGCATAAGATACACTACAATACATTGGCATTTTTATTTATTTACTTTTTAAATACATTTGGATTATCTTAAATGGGCTCTAAATATGATTAAGTTATATTCTATATATTAATATTTTTATTTATACAAATCCTATACTATATTTATCATATTTATTAGTATATTTGATACAGTATTGTTAAAATGAAGATTTAAAATTTTAGAATTTAATTACGCATTTTCTTACTTTCTTATTTGTGATCAGATAATAGACATATAATTATGAAATTTTAAAAAATTAATTATGATTTAAAGTAAGCATAATGCAGTGTCTACAAAAAAAGTTATTTCTTTTCTTTCATTTAATAAATCTTAATTTTTTAGAAACTTAAATAATATATAACTTTTCATGTAGGCACAAAGGATAAGATCATTTAAAGACATACAAGTCCTCATTTTTTTTATTAATTTCCATTTTACTGTGGGTGCTTTATTTGTTGCTTTTAAATGCCAGAAATATTTAAATAGGAATGTTTGCTTACGATACACATTATTTTGAAGGAAGAGAGATGTTGGCTCAACCTTAATTTAAATTTATTTTTTCTGCTACCAATATAAAAATTTTGAATATCAAGATTCTCAAAGAATGACATAGTACATTGATAAACTATATATATATATGTGTGTGAGTGTGTTTATATATATATATGTATATATATGTATGTATATATGTATATATATGTATACGTATATATATGCAAATATATATATATATATATATATATATATATATATATATATATATATATATATATACACACAGGTCATTCTAATGGAATGCTACTGGTATCATGTAAGCCAGTACTACCTGTTGCATGGTCGGGCAATCGGCAACTAAACCGGTTCCCCACTAGGTCAACCTGGTGAGGAGGGTGGCTAGAAACCTGCAGGACAAAAAAACAAGACCTGTCAAAGGACGGATGAGCCTCTTTGAGAGGTCAACGGCCATTATGTCCAGATACCTGGTGTGACTGCTACTAGTAAAGCTGTAAATCAGTACAACCTGTTTCAGCCAACAAAGAGGTTAAATTCTGTGATAAAAAAAAAACATGCAATCTCATTAGATGTCCATTCATCTCGCGTATGCTTGTCACTGAGCAAATCCTAAAACAAGTAGTGAGGGTACCATATGTGTCGCACAAGCATGTTTTATCGCCATCTTAATGCGCAGATATCTCTACAAAGTCCTATGGCGATTGAGATGTGACAACGTGTGCAGGCTTGACGGGCTGGGAGCACATAGTTACAAGTCTGCATATAGGCGGCTTTGGGATTATCTAACGTCGCAGTTTTGCTGGTTGAATAGCAGCTTCCTTCGGTGGATTCCTTAGCATCTGAGCAGCCATTGTCAGGAAAAAACTGCTCATCCATGAATTTGGGAAGGGTCTAGAAAAAGTGACCTAAACAAAAACTCTGTTCCTTTTTCAAGCTGGCCGACTTCCTGCAGTTGGCGGCTGTTCATCTTTGCAGGCGAAATACAGAAGTGAAAAATCGAAAGTCAAAATCAAATTTTCATCATCAGAGACACTTAATGAAAATTGGTTTTTGGAATGTGAGAAACCTTTTAGATAGTGATCAAAGTAAAAGAGTTGAACGCAGAACTCCCATTGTAGCAAAGGAATTATCAAGATACAATAATGACATAGCGGCTATCTCTGACACCCGCTTTAGCGATGAGGATCAACTGATGGAAAAAAAAGCGCGGCCAACATTTTCTATTGGAAGGGTAAGTCTGCGGGTGAGAAACATGGGGTGGGTGTAGGGTTTGCAATAAAATCTGAACTTGTTGCACATCCTCAAGGCATAACTGACAGAATCATGACTATTCGTATGCCACTGCCAGGAAACAGATTCATGATATTAATTTCTGTCTATGGTCTAACCATGTTCAATAGTTAGGAAATGATAATTGCTTTCTATGCTGATGATGCCGACCTCGTGGCTCATACCGAAGAAGTTATGCAAACCATCATGAATCTTTTTGCGGATGCATGTAAGTCTTTTGGGCTTACTATCAGTTTGAGAAAGACCAAGGTAATTTTCACACCACCTCCCGGTCAACAGTATCGTGAACCAAAAATATTTGTGGATAGCAGGAGGCTGGAGGCTGGAGGTGGTGGATACCTTTGAATATATTGGAAGCACATTATCACGAGATGGAATACTAGATGCTGAAATAATTCACCGCATCGAGAAAGCTGCTAAATCTTCTACATGATTGGAAAAGCGGGTGTGATCTGACAGAAACTTCACACTTAACGTCAAGGTAAAGGTTTATGAGTCATGTGTTTTGACTGCCGTTTTGTACTCTTCAGAAACATGGACAGCATACAGACATCATATTACCACCCGTGAAAATGTACACAAAAAGATCCTCAGAAGAATCATTATATATTTCATGACAGTCTTTTGTACCTGACACAGAAGTTCTGGGGAAAGCTAATATCCCCAGTATGAGAAGCTAATCATACTCAATCAAATCCGCTGGGCAGGTCATTTGGTGCGCAAGAATGGCTCAAGGTTGCCTAAACGTGCCTTTTATGG